CAAGTTATACAAGAGCCAGAGACTTCAGTAAAGTAAATGACTTTCTAAGCTGCCATTGGACTAAAATCAAGGCCCCAAAGCAGCAAGTTTTAGAATCAGAAATAATTTGGCCCATATTTGAGGGATTTTCCACTCTTCATCTTCTGTTATATTGTTTGGAGCATGTTTTGGAGCCTGTGTAAAAGAAATGGTGTGTTTTGGGGAGCATATTCAGTGGTTCAGTGCCAGGTAGAGCAGAAAAGGGAAAAAAAGATGGCTAAGTCTGTTTCTTTGCCCTCCATTTAATAGCACGTTGTGATTGAACTCTCTCTCGATAACGTTATTTTGCTTTAGTTCTAAATGTTTGTTCTGTTTTCTGAATTTCAACCCTGATATACATGGGAGAATTTGTAATGTGATAGGTAAAAATGCTTTCCCAGGAGGTGCTATTTCCATGTGAAAGTTTGAAGTTTTCGTTACCCTAAATTTTCCTGCCCCTTTGCTGTTTGGATTCTTTTGTGCCATTTTAGTAAGACTTTCAAGGGGAGATTTTCAAATTGATGTCTGAAAGCGTATGATGTGTGATGTCTTTTTCTTTTTCGTTTTGCCACTATTGTATGTGAAATAGTAGAATCACAAATAATGATTTAGATTTAAATATCATTCTCTCCTGGTTTTTGTTTGGTTTTTTTAATAGTTTTTTGTGTATGTATGTATGAGTGCACTGAACGGCACCATAACTAATCTAAAAATGGAATACCAATGAACTCAAATATTGTTCTAGTTTCAAATACTTCTTAAAAACTTTTGCTGTAATCCTTCCCTGGTGGTACAAAAAGTTGGCTTTGGTATATTTTTAAGGTATTCTCTTTCTTGAAATTAAGACCATTCTCCTTAAGACCATTCTCCTTATTTTGATTCTGTCAAATTTTAAACCTGAATATTAAACTCTTTGAAGACAAACATTAATTCTGTTAGTCTTCACATACTGAATTTAGAACAGTTGTCATGAAAACTTGCATGCACTGGTGATTTTTATGTCATCAAAACACTTCTTACCAACAAAAATACTAGCAGATGTATGCCTCATTGATACCAAGCTGTATTCTCTTACTGTTTCCCTCTTATATTTACTAATTCATTTATCAGAAACTTTCAGTTATCTCACACTTCACTGATACAAAAATTCCATTGTCAAATATGCAGTGAGATCACTTTATTTTGTTTTCTGTCTGAACTGTAGCATATAAGAACAGGAGCTGGTTATGAGCAGGTGAGCTCGTTTAAAGCTCTAGAAATCTCTTTGTAGCTGAAGAAATGGGAGAAGAAAGTTGCATCTTTCTGCACGTTTGCACATACTAATTTAGCAAATGGACTCCCATGTCATTCATGGACTAGCGTGGTCATCTTTCATTTCATAAATTACTATGCAGTTTTGTTCACTGTGAGTATAATCTGTATTTAGTGATTGCAAGATGCTTATGCCACTGATTTCCATCCAAGCTGACAGAAGTTATTTGATAATGCACATACTGGTATCTTTAATTGCAAAAATGTAAATTTGAAACTTGTATAATGTTCTTGTGCTTTTGAAATAAAATATCTTGTATATGTATATTTAAAAAAAAAAAAGAAATAAAGTAACTTCTCGTAGATTATTCATTTTTTATTTGACACCTCACAGTTCTTTTTACAAGAGCATCCTAGCGGTGTCTGTCAGTGTGAAAAAGGAGAAGGGTTAGTAAATGGTTGGTAGACAGTACCAGTTACCCCTGTAGTCTGCATCATTGTTGTACCATTAGCAGTGATGCTGTGCTTTTTCTTACGTGAAGAAATATGCCACTTGAAACTTGTCCCGGTATTTTGTAGATGCAAATTCCTGCAGTGTTTAATTCAATTTGTAAGAAAAGTCTTAAGTGCAGAATTTAATATTTAGATGTCTTAAAACTGATTTAGTTGAGTGATTTTGGGTTTGTATCTTGTCAGATAAGAACTGTTTGTCATAACCACCTCTAGAAAGGGAAGCCTTGTGGTGCTGGTGTAATGTGCTGTGTGATACATGTTTGAAAAAAAACCAAAAAAAAGATGTTTTATTATAGAGCTAAACAAGCAGTCAGGAAATCTCTCACATAGAAATGGCCAGTACTTCTTGCCCCTTTTTATGTTACAGGCTGCTGTCATCACATCCAATGCTGTTGTAGCTTTGGGCACCATTAAGCTTACAGAATTTGGGTGTTGGTGGTGTTGCTTTTTATGCATATTCTTAGTAAAGCAAATGTGTTTTAAGAACCAATTCTTGAAAAGGTAAAAGATAGAGGAAGATAGATTAAAGTCTCCTGGTAAAAGTGTTCTGAAGACTATTAGAACAAGAATGCTATTAATTAGAAAAAAAAAAGTCACAGCACTATTTCTTGCATAGTAAAAACCTCAATGTACGAAAAATATAGAGGAATATTTTGGCCATTATGTGCTTTGCTTTATGGTTGAAATACACTTTATTTTCTAGCCAATATCACTGAATAATCTCCATTGTAAATTACTCAGATTCATGATACAACATTTGTTACTTAGATTCTTCTAATTTATTACTTAAAAAGATCTTCAAAGTTACCTTCTTAAAAAATGGAAGTTTGATTTCTGTAGCCCAAGTCTCTTCTGTTAGTTTTTACAAGTATTTTGCAGGTAGGCTAAATTTGAGGGATACAGAAAACAGTTGATACAGAAAACAAATGACTAGTAATGAAAATCCACTCCTATACAAGTCTCTCAAATCTAGTTATTCCTAATCCTAGTACATTTCTCTAAACTTAACGCAGCTTTGCTTTTGACCGTAGTGAATGTAAAGGAAATGTGCACTGAAGGAGAGCGAGCTGAAATTCTGAGGGATTAAATACATGATTTCGTGTATTGGTGAGTAAGAGGAGACCAGGTATGAAGTTAAACGTGAAACATTTAAATGGGACCTGAATTTTCTTTTCATTTCTGTGTGCTTATGAAATCGGCATCAAACAACTTACAGTCCATCAGACTTAATTTTAGGAGGTTTCTAGACTTCATGTTTGAGTGAATAAACGGCAACAAAATGCTGTGAAGCACAAAATGAGGGCTGTGGATTTTATGATAGTTTTGAGTCCTTGCTATATTTGAAGAGCCATGGTTAGTCTTTTTCAGTAGACTGAAGAACCTTTTGTTTCCTGCTTCTTAAGTGTGCCTGAAATGTAAAGTTGGCCTCTTGAGGTGGGTATAAGTGTGGAGATGCAGGCTTAGTGCTCAGAGAGAGCTCATCCCAGTGTACCAGAGTTCCTGCTTGAGCTGTGTCTAGTGTTCATTTTAACAAAACCCTAAAAGTGCTACATTTTTATATTTCTTGCTAATTATTTTTTCTTTATGATCAATGTAGAGCAAGTGTTTTCAGTGGTAATCAGAAAGCTTTAGAGTATTGTAATTGCAATTTCTATAGAAGCTGTCATAGTGCCTTCAGCAGAAACTGAACATTACAGTGTTTCTCTAATTTTGTTTTGATTAAGAACTTGATAAAGAAAATAGTTTCATGCACAGATGAGTGCCTTGCTCTGGAAGTTGCTATATTGTTATTAATTCTGACTGGATTAAGCATTAATAACAAGTAGGATAAGAAGTGTACCTCAAGTCGTATTTATTTCTGTATCTGAGCATATGCCCTGGCTTAAAGGCTTGGCTCGCTAATGCCGTCTTTGTCTTTAACAATTACAGAGAATTAAGGTGGAGTCTGTGCTGCTACTTGAGTTTGTTGTCTTGGTCCCGTGGCTGTGATGTTAAATACTGCTGGAAATCCAGACTATTGTGACAGGTGCTGTAAAGGAAGCTGGATATATAGGGTGCACTTCCACATTCTGGGGAAACCAGTAAATACAAAGCAGAGAAGAAAGCCTTTATTAAGGAAAGTAAATTTTATGCCGATTACTGTGAAATGAGCTATCATCTTTTTGTAATGTATCTCTATCGATGGAAACTAAATGCCTAGACAAGATAGAAATCAACAGTCTAGTGACTAATCACTGGTAATAGGCCAGACAAGGACTTTTCCCTGTGAAATGTATTTTGAAACTCAGTTAATTTCAAAAGCAACCACATTCCGCTTCTGCCGTTTCTGGCAGTTGGCTGAGAGACAAAGGTTAACTTACCAAATGCTAACTAGTCTTTTGTTGTAAAATGTGGTTTATTCATATGCAAATAAATGAGCTTGTGTGGGGGCCAGGGAAGATGTGTAGCTGGACACTTACACCTCTGCTCTTCATGGTAATGTGTTACATCAGCTACTGCTTGACATTTCTGTGTCTTTAAAGAGATTCTCAGGCTGCATGGTCAGTTTCAAATCTATTTTTTCAGAGCAGATTCTTGACAAATCCATCAACTAGAAAGTTACCAGAAGAGTGAGCTCACTGTTCTTGTAATTCTGCAAGTTCAAGACTTGACCAAGAGATTTTTAAGTGGTGCAAAATGTTTCATCTGTTTCTACAGTTAAATGTGTTTTGCCATTAGGAAATATGGAAATGTTTCCTAAAATACAAAGTAAGATTTTCTTTCTTCATGCTCTGATATCCTGATTTACAACCATTTTCATCATACTGAACCATTCCTCTCTTTTTTAATTGTTGAAAGCATTTTATTTTCTAGAATTTGCATATTCTTAGGTCACTAGATTCAATTTTTTTCTTAATTAAAAAAAAACTCTACAGGAGTAATTTCTGTTTTTCTCTTAAGTTATTTCTGATTATCTTACAGCTTTTGGTTATTGAGATCTGTTTTTCCAAATGTAGATTGACTAAAATTGTGTTGAGGAAGTGACTGCTGTTGACTGAAATATGTGGCACTTTGCATAGTTACCTAAAATATACTGCATTTATAAAACCCTATACACTATTGGGAAATCTGATTAATTTGCAGTATATGACTGTCTTTTTCCTTGATCTCTTAAGGCACTACAACTTTCTGTATTTATTCTTTTCCCATCTGTATCAGCTAATTATAGAGCAGCTGGTAAGTATTTTTGACTCCCAGAAGTGGCTGAAGGAATTATGCACCAGTTGAGTTTTAATTCCACACTGGGCAAAGTGATTGCAAAGGGAAGAGTTAACAGCTCTTGTAGAAGGTAGTCTCAGCGTACAAACCTAGTTATTTGAAGGAGTTTTAACACATTTAAGTGTAGACCTAAAATGTTAAGCAGTGAAGCAGTTGCATTTGAAATTATGGTCATGCACACAGCCTGCTTGAATTACACTCCAGATTATTACATCGCACAATTTACTTACAATATATTCTTAAAGTATTATCCTTGCTTTTTCTAGTGTTACAAAATACAGCAGTTGTTGAGTAAAGGAATTTTTACTTCTGCACAATTTCAAAAGCAGGAATAGTTCTGCTTTGAATATCCCAGTGGTATAACTTCTTTTACTTGGTTATTCACAAAGAATGCAGTCACAGCAGTAACAAGTAAAATACTTTATTTGGTCTTTTAACCTCTATTTTGTATCGATACGTTTTTCCTGCTTACTACTAATGATGAATTAATGTCATAGGGCATCCTGTAACTACAACTGTCTTGGGCATTGAAGGCTTTCACTCCATGCATTGACAAAGTTCCCAAGCCTTCATTGATTTCACATAGTCCCCTATCTTCCTGCCCCTGGATCAATGTGTTAAGTACCTTTGAAATGAGGAGCCTGTAAGCATCTAGGATCATCAGTGCTTGTTTTAGGGGAGGTATATACTTGTTTTTTTAAACTGGGGCTATCACATGCTACTTGGAATTTCAAATATCCTTGCAGGAGCTGTCAGTTTTCTTAAGCAGAGAACTCCTTTCAGCAGTACCTTTTGACTTTCAGGGAGGTGTGGCAGCTGGCTTTCCCTAGACTATGGAGGGGGAAAAATGAAAACATACTTCAGAATATTTGGGAAAAATAAATTAAATACATTAGGGTAACTTTCCTTGCCTTCAGTTTCGCCTTGCTAGTAGGTTCTGTTAGAAGGGCTGCATAGGTACATTTCAGCTAAAAGTAACTCTCCTACCTTGGACTAACAGAGCTTTCATTTCAGTTTTTGTCTTTTTTGTAAAGGATCTTTTTATCAAGTGTAATGATTTCTTTTGGGATTTCCCAGTTGCTGGGATTTCTGTAGGTGTAGTGACAATAACGACACACTTTGGTACATAGTAGACTAATCTGTATGTTAGTAGATGTAGACCCATCCTCTCTGGAACATTTGCTTGTGCATAGCGATTACTCTGGCATGTTCAGACCATGATAGAATTCTGTAGATAAAGGAGAGAAAGTGGGAAAAATTCCAAAAGTTCTGTGCAGTGTTGAAAATCAGGGATTTCTCAAGTAAAAATGCATCCATCCAAAGAAGTATCAGCATTTTTGGAGCTGTCACCAGTCTGTGGTTTGTTCAATTGTCTTCATTTTTTTTTCCTTTTTTACCCCACCAGTGAAAAATCTGGTAACTGTAGGAATGTAATACAGCAAAGCTACACTTGTGATGTCATTCTTTTGAAGACTTGCCTACCTAGCTGCAGGGATAGATTTTGTTGTAAGATTGGTTTTGCCACAGTCTGTGTTTTGAACATTAATGTTAGGGTCATTCATGCCCGATACGGTGGAGATCTGGTTGGCTTTGCCGAGGTTCTTAATGATACTGATGTTGTATTTGGCAGTTTCCACAAAACTATTTTCTAGTAACCAACCATCTGATTCTCCCTCCAGATCTCCGAGCAGAAGGACGTTCTTCATGGCTGTTTGTAGGTACCGAACACCAATAAGTACAGAGAGCTGTAAGAAACAGTGAATGGTTAAACAGTGAGTTGAAATCACAGCCTGAACCCTACCACTAAATCAGCTTTCTGACTTGTGTATTTAGAGGCCTCCTAACTAGTATTGAGTCAAGCAGACAAACTCTGTCTGAGCAATATATCTAACCGCTCTACCAGTTAATTGCATTTTTTTAGAAAGAAAAATACAAGGGAGAGATGGATTGATTCTCTCTTCATTCTTCAGGTAACAATCCCCCTTGCGTGTTATTAGCATATAAATACCTAGAATTACTCGGGAACCCTGCAGCCTCAGAGACTGAACTAATTGATGTACAATGGATGATCAATTAGTGGAACCATTGGCCACTGGGAAAATAAAATTGTGCTATGTTAATTTCCATGGATTTTTTCCCCACTGACCTTGATTAAATCAATATTTCCTCCAAGGAGGTTTAATCATTCATATGTAAGCCATATGTGTCCTACATGCCAAGGTATGAAAATTCAAAAGGCTGGCCTATAGCAGAGGCTCAAATGTAAGTTTTGGAAAAAGCCCCGCTATCCTGGTTTCTGTTACAATTGAGATCAGCGTGCCCAGCTTGTCAATATTTAAGGGAGCACAGAGAGCACAGTTTTTTTCACATGCCAAAGGCCTGTTATTTCTGGCACCACCACCCAGCACTGCTTGAGGACTGTGAACTATTTTAATTACAGTGCTAATATTTATGCAATAGAGCAGTAATCAGAAAACTAAAACTTATTAAAAAGACAAGAAAATTCTATTGTAGCCTGTGCCACTGGGGGTCCTTTACTTGTGGATGACAACATTCAGATAACTCTCTTAACAGACATCAGGAGGAAGACTGCAGCTTTGCAGGGGTGTATGCTTCCGTGTGGTGTGCTTATTTTGATTGCATTATCAGCAGCATAATCAGTGCCATGTGTGCAGGTGCTCTGTATATGGTGAATGTATAATGGAAAAAAGGAGGCTTTGAGATATTAATACTTATGCTCAATTTTAACTATAAACAAAATTAATCTATTAAGCCAAAGACCTGCTCACATTTTGTATATTCTTTGTTAAAAGAGACTTAACCCCCAGACCTTTTCATATAATTTCCTTGCAGTTGTGTCAGTGCATACTGTCTTGTATCTGATCTAGTAAGTGCTTCAGTGAAGGAAATATGCTATATTCTATTGAAAAAGCTCTGTAAATACACAGAATTGTATAGATAATTTCTGATAGACCTCATCTTCGATGAGATTTGCTTCTGCTCTGTGGACTTTGGGAAAGTCCTGTACTAAAGGAAGTCCTGCAACATTCCTGAAGTGCCTGTGGACTTTGGTTGCTGAGGCACTTCTCATGTTACACCATATTTGTTGCCCATCTTATAGAGACAGAAGACTCTGATTAATCTGACACACACCATTTTCGTGAGACTTACCTCAAACAACCAAATAAGCAAAGCTGCAATGCCAATGGATCTCATAATACTGGTGTAGTAATCCAGCAGGGCCTCTCGGCACCCCTTCACCCAGATATTGAGCTCCTCTGTCAGAAAGTCATAGTTGTAGTGAGCACTGTTGTTGGTCAGCTGGTACTGGATGCAGGGCCGTGGGGAGCTGGGGTTGCAGCAGCTGAAGGGTACTCCATCCACCAGGAACCTCCCGTCAACGTTGCTCTTTAGACGGCTGCAACAGGACAGAAAGTTCGGGCATTACAAAAGTCGTGTCAGCAGCAGGTGGTGCCCGTGATTTTAGCAAAGGAAATAATGCAAGTCTGCTGCAATGTAGGCCTCTCCAATGTAACAAAAGGAAAATGGGGATATATTTTCAACAGGAAAAAGTTGCTTACTACAGGAAAATGGAATTTTTAATGGTCTGTGTTTAAGTCTGGTACAAGCACAGCACCTCACCTGATTCGTGGTACTGTGCCACAAGACGTGAGTTCAGTGTTCACAGAGATGTTTCCTTTTTAGGTATCTTTGTGCTGAAAATACTAAAGACAATTTCTGAACCTCTTTATCTTGGTGGAACTCTAATGGAAGTTATGTCCCTTCAAATCCTGTTTCACTACTTCCGTGTTGATTTTCAATTCAGTCATTCCTTAGGAGAGAACCTAAGACAAGAATAACTTTGCCTACCATGAGAACCACTGGAAATTGTCCGCTGGCCTTTCATCACTGTACCCATTGCAATGGCTAGTTCAGCAAATATTCTGAAACTAATTCACAAGGGAGTTTCTGCTTCTTGTAACTATAGTTTTTGTAACTTTAAAAAGCATATTTATTACTAAAATTTATTCCTTTCCCTCCCCCATAAGGTCAGGAGGAAAACGTGGGGAAAGAGGAAAGATAAAATAGGAATAAGGAAAAAAAATGGGAATGGGATGGGAAGAGGACCGAGTCTCAGATTAATCACAATTTCCTGGAACAGTTAAGTGAATCTGTGATATCTGCTTTCCTTGTATTACCTTCTCTTTAGCATGAAGTCTTTAGTATTTTCAGCACAAAGATACTGCTTAGAAACAGAAGTCCACACAAAGATGCACTAGCTAAAGAGAAGTACTTTCAAATGAAACATAAGCTCCTAGGAAGCTCAGTATTTGTGGCAGTGCTTTGATGGCAGAATAACTGCCTTGATTTTATTACTGTGACCCTGCTAAATACAACCTTCTTCCCTGCCCCCCCCCCATTTTTCTTTTTTCTATTTTTCCTTTTTTTTTCCTCCCCTCCTTTTTCCTTTGTTTCTTCTCATCCTTTTTTTCTTTTTTATTCAGGTGATGGTTTGTGTTTTGTTTTAAGATTCTTTCAAAACCATCTTCCTCAAACCAAGTAAGTCAGGAAGTTCATCTGCCATTTCCCACCTAGGAGTGGGATAGGCGTGAATTCCTCTCCATTTTCAAGTCTAGCTCTTCACTTTGTGGCCATCACATTCCTGGTAATGGCAGCAGAACGAGACCAGTGCAAAGAACCCAAATTATGCACTGAAACTATACTGAAGTGTGTGAGCTGTGTCATGGAACAGGCAAAACCATGAAAGGGAAATAAGGAATGGAGTCAGAGAGGCACAAAATGGAAGACTTGAATGCTGGAGGAGAAAAGAAAACTCTCAAAGGGAGGAGAGGAAGACTGGCACATTATGAAAGGGAGGCTTTTACCGGGTTCAGGAAAATGCCCTCTATATTTTAGGGCTTCATGTATATTTAATGACCCAGATACAGTACAGCATCTAAAATGGATAAAATACAGTCTCTTAAACTGGTTCTTAACCTTTTCTTTTGATCCCAAGCATCAATTCAGCTATTTTTTTTTAATTCTTTTGCTATATGTTTCTACTGCCAACAGCATCAGTTTCCAGACTTGGTTTTGTCGTCTTGCCATTGTGTTGTCTCTGTCAGTGGCAAATTAAAGAACGTTGGTACTGTTAGAAGGGAAGACCTCAGTGACTGAGGCTCAGTGTGTGAGGCATTCACGGCTATTTGTTGTTGCAGTTCAAAGTTGTTGTGGTATTGTCAAAGCAAAAATTACTTTTAAGGCTAAAAAAGAAGATGATTTTCACCTAAAGAAAGCAATGACAGGATTATACTACTATAACCTGCCTCATCTTCTGACCTGTCTCCATGCCTTGTCACTTTGAGGTGTTGGCAGTGGAGCCATAGAAGAGAGGGGAGGGAAAAGGGTAATGAAGAAAGATGAAAAGTTCAGTTTTAGAAAGGTTACATGTAAGTGACAGTATGTCAGTTCTCAGCTGCTTTGCCTCTTAGTCTTCCAACTGACATACAGTACAAGTTGAAACCAAAAAAAGTTTGATTCCTTCTCCATACTTTCTGAACATTACCAGCTGGGCTTTGCTTCCAGTGATTTCACATTAACTAAATGTTTTACTACCAGACTTTTAGAAATCGCGGTATAATGTGGTTATACCAGCATCAACTTGTATCCTGGCCATCCAGCTGAAATTAACCAATTTATACACAGCAAAAGAAGTTCTGAAATTACTTCCCTCACACACATTTCACTGTCATCTTCTGCCAAAATGGGACAAAAATTAACTGACAGTGTATTCTCAAAATAATTTGCAGAGCACAGGTGACCCTGCAGAAGAAAACAATTTAGTTAAGACCCTGGATAAAACATTGCTGTTTCTGCATGCCTTGCAGAAATAATAGGCAGGATATTTTACTTTGGAACCTCACAATAAGATACTACTTTTCACTTCTTTGTTGTCATGTCCCTTTTCCCTGTGGAACCAGGATTCAAAACATCTCTGTATCAGTCTGTTCTATGTGATACTTCCTAACTTCTCTCTTGAGAACACTTGTAAATCTTGCTCTATGTCCACAGACAACTATTTATGCAGGCTGATAACCTCTTATCTGTATTCTCCTAGGCCCTGCATTCTGGCATATTTGCAACTCTGTATATACACTTTCCTATGATGGCAGTTCCAAGTTGCAAATTCAGATAAAATAAGATCTTTGGCCTCCCTTCCTCTGCCTTTATTGTGACTGATTTTTGAGTTCAACAAAACAAAGCACTTGACAAATGCCAGTCAAGCTCTTTGTGTTTGTCCTTCCAAGGAATACAAAGCTACTACACTCTTGTCAGGACTTTTTTCAGCTTTAGAAGAATTATTACATGTTAAATTGTCTACTTACAGAAATTTTAATTGTTATTTTTTTCTGTTGTCTGTAAGTATTACCAGACTCTTCTTTTTGAACATATAATTCCACAGTTGCTACATCATGTGAAGCACTACCACCAAAAAAAAAACCAAACAGGTAAAGGGTTCTTCTCCTTTTTTATTCAGTGTACCTGGTGATTGGCACTTTCTCACATGTGAACATATAGATTTGAACTTGGCTTTGCAGAATCTAATACCTTGAAGGAGAAAGGCCTTTCGGTGTTTAGGATTGACTGTGCAATGTATTGATAGCACAATCCTCTTTTTCTTTCCATTATCAGCTCCCTGTAACTGAAATTAAATTTTTGAGGAGCTAACTCACCACATTAAAAAAGGAAAGATACATCTTTGCTTTGCTTAGCATCCCTAAAAGGTTAGCAAAAGGCAGCCTTTGCTTGTGCATGTAGTTAGTGTCTTTTGCAAGTAATGTGGTCATTCTTTATTAAGATACATGGGTCCAGTAAAAAGGCTTTGCTTTCTCGAATGAATTTTTCTCCTAGATTTTTTGCTATGACTAGTAAATACTTACTCTTGAACCTCTTTAGAAGCCATATTCAGATAACGAGGAGATACCCACTGAATTTCAAACCAGTCTCTAAAGCCATTGTTTCCACAGCAATGGAATCCAATTTGTAACAAATCCACTGTTTTCTTCAAGAAACATCGTCCAGGTATGTCCGTGTCTTTATAGAACTTAATAGCATCCCTCAGTCCCAGGTAGAGAGACTCTTCCAGCTCGTTCCTCATGGTGTAGCACATGAGAGCACCCACCAGGATGCAGAAGGTAAAACAGAAGGTACATACGATGTATGGCAGCATAACAAGTTTCCATCGAGAGAACTTGTTGGCGTCTGAGCAGTCATAGCAGATTTTTCCACCCAGAAAGTTGATGATACATGCTATGACCCCCACAGAGATCAGCATGTTGGGGACGGAGTTAATGTCCCCTTTTGCCATCACTTCTTTGCGCTTCTTGATCTCTATTTTCAGAAAGAGGCCGAGACTGAAGAGAATGATCCCGCTCACTACAGAAACCCAGTTGAGTATCCATAAGATCTGGGCCAGTTTGTCCCTCTTAGTTTTGGTGAATTTTACTTTGAGAACAGCCATAGTCAGATCAGCGTTAGGAAAAGAAGTGTAGGTCAAGGGAAGCTCGTAAGTGGATTAGGGGCATGTGTCCAAGGCATGCAGTAGAAATCTGAAGAAGAGAGAGAGAGAGAGAGAGATTACTGCCTGTCTGACCAGGTATTATTGACCATTTATAGAGACTACAGAGAACTTCCTGTGCAGCCTCACGCACTTTCAGTCCTGCCCAGGGAGTGCCCCAGTGAAATTTATTGCTTGAATTTCATACACTTAAAAAAAAATTCTAAGGACCAACTAGAGCAATTATAAACAAGTGAACAGTACAACCAATGACTCTAGATTTCTGTGGATTTTTCTCAAGGGATATTTTCTGTGCAGGCCTTCTGATGTCTAGAAGTGAGCTGGGCTGCTGGCTTTCCTTCCAGAACACTCACAGTGTTTTTTCCCTTGAACTTGTTGCCTGTATGTTCTTGACAATTATAGGTATTTATTATTCTTAGATTACTGTATTATGGTTAGGTTTGTGTTAAAAAGTTGAATAAGCAGGACAAAACCAAATATATACAGCATAATCACATAAACCTTTTTTCCCTATAGAAAAAAATGTGAAAATAACAGAAACAGAGTATCCTATGGGTATTTTTAGTAATTTCATTAATTATGTGCAGTGAAATGTGATTTTTCTAGCAAAAAGCAAGTATTATCCCTACATGTACAGTACTAATATATGATCACTCTGGCAAAATACTGCAGGGGCAAAATGACTGCCGTTATCAACAGAGACAAAATGTTATACAAATAGTTAAACTATCAATGACTGTGCTGGTTTTCTAGAAAATATTATCAAAAATTTATTAACTTTTAAGTGTTATGATCTGAATATATTTTTGGTGAACATCCTCCACTGCATTTTTCCACTTGATCTGGCATAAAAGCACTACCATTTTTATGTAAAGTAACAAATCACCCTACAAAAAAAAAAAAAGGCAGAACATCTTCACACCTTAAAAATCAGCAGTTTAGGATGTTCTATTTTTTCTCTGATAGACCTCCCTTTCTTTCTAAAAGTTCTTATTAAAAAACAGTTCTTGGAATAGCATGATGTATTAAATAAGGCCTATTTAATCTTCAGGGAATCCCTGTCACTCTCTTAACCTCTGCTTCTGCAGCTAAAGTTGCTTGCTCTTTGTCTTGAGAACTGTGACAATCACACCTTAATCCAACCGTCCTACCACCAACCATAAACTGGTTTTCTTTCCGAGCCCCCCATGTTGCAGTCAGAATCCTAAATGTCATTCCCACACAGAATGGGATGAATGTTGATTGTGATCACAGTGTGATAATCGTATCGATGACGGACACTTCTGTGCAAACAAGTCCAGAGAATAGTCATTTATAAAACTGTAACACTTTCTTCACATGGTTCTTCTATGGTATCTTTCAGACCTTATTTGAAAGGATCATGCTCTGCTGGCACAGAATTGAGCCCCCATAGGAATTCAGCTGACAGCCTGCCTGATAAGCCCAGAGACAGTATCTTTGATTGCTTTGCCAGTTAAGCAGTTCGTGACTTGACCTTAAATAGCTGTAGATGACGGCTGCTAATAGGTTTATTTGCCCCTGATACTCGGGTCAAGGAGCTCACAACAGCGAGAATCTGTTGTGAAATTCCCTGACTGCTGCTATGCAGTTCACATTCCATGGCCAGTATATATGAATGAATGCATCATGCACTGTTTGCTTCTATGAAATACATGTATGTACTTGTAAAATGCCTCTAGCATGTTAGGCACACATATAGTTACAGTGTCACTGAAAACGCCCTACTTGCCAAATATATTTTGCTTTAACATTTCAACAAAAGTTGTAAACAGTTCTACCTTTACTTAAAATTCATCTACTCAAGAAGCATTGTTGATTTTGGAAGATGTAAATTTCACAGAATCACAGAATATCCTAAGTTGGAAGGGACCTAAAATGGATCGTTGAATCCAACTCCTGCCTCTGCACAGGACACCTCAACAATCCCACCATGTGCCTGAGAGCATTGTCCAAATGCTCCATGAGCTTTGGCAGGCGTGGGGCCATGACTACTTCAGAGAAGGCTCCAGCTTGCCTAAGCTCATGGAGGGTCCCTGTGGCATAAGGGGAGACTGAGGCTCAAGTATAAAGCTGAGTTTAACAGACTATTATCTTCCTTTGGGGGAAAGTTTTAGCTATTCTTTAATGCAAGCTGGGAGGCTTTTTAATTTGAAACTTTCTGTCATATTCTAACCGTAGAGAAATTTGAAGCTGAATTCCATAAGCAGGGCTATATTCACTCTCATGTAGCTATTCTGATGTAGCTCCCTCCCCCATTTTCAAATGCCTAAAATTTAAAAAAAAAAAAAAAAATTCTGTGCAAGAGAAACTCTCCTAGTAATTCCTTGCCTCCGGTAATTCTCATATGGTTTTTCCAGATTTCTGGGTACAATTTTAGTATTGTTTTAAGACCAGATTTCATGGAATATTCACATTCATCTAACAGAGGTACCCACGCCACAGTCCTACACCAGCATAAGATCATATGAGCCCTAGTGCCAGAGGAGGGGGGTTGTTGTATGCAGTGACCACTTGTTGACTGACTCTGGCTGTCACTGATATACCTGGGATTGCACAAAGGATCTCTGGGACACACTGTGCTGCTCATGAAACTCTGAGTGCATTTAGTCTGGGACAGAAGAACCAGTTACCCAGTCCATTCCTGTGTTCCCAGCTTCTGCGTGGATATTTATCTTGAGATTATTTTTACCTATGCTAACAGTTTACTGAATTTATTTCAGATAATGAGAAGACTTGCTCTGCAACATGTATCTGTTCTTCGCTGAGTTACGTTTGGCAGCAGGTTACTGTAAAACCAAAACCAGCAGTTCAGTGGAACTAACACCTCTATCAAAGTTCTTAGAAACCTGTGCACATAAGCCACTCCAGAATTATGAATCATATACACACAGACATTTTTCCCCTAGTTATAGCAGAGCAAACTGGATTTTATTCTATAAAGGAAGAAATATTTCTTTCAACAGAAGAAACCAAATAAATATGTAAATTTCTCCCCTAATATCAATACCGTTCTCAAGCTTTTCTTGTCTAACTCACTTTAAACACAGCTTCAATCACCATACAGTAGCTTTTTGCTGCCAAGATGCCACCTACCTGTTCCTTTGCTATCAAATTCCTCTAACTACATAGAACATGACATAGCACAGCTATTTACTTGTTAGTAACATTTACTTATTAGATAAAAATTGTCCAATGAAATTTGGCTTGCAATTTTGCCATAAACAAATCACATCTTATTTTACTGATTTTACTAAAATTTGCCATTGTATGTAAACACACATTCCTATTTGTGACACTGTAAAAGAAACTACTAACCTGCTTCAGAGGACTGAACAGGAACTTGAAACTGGTAACTTGATGAATACAAGGGAGAAAATACCTGAATCAAACATCCTGAGGATGATGGAAACACTGATTTCCTGATGTCTCTTTGGTTGTCCTGTCTTCACACTGACTCGCCAGTGGAGACGGAGAAAAAGACTTTAGCTCTCCTGCCCGTGCTAATCTGTCTTTCATCTCTAATCATAGCTAAGAGATTTATTTCCAGGTTCTTATGCCACCGGGTTAAATCCTGCAAAACAGGCCAATTAACTGAGTGTGGACTGAGATCTCATCAACAAAATGTTTTATAGGAACTTGTTTTACCTTTTTACTCCTCCGCAGGTTTGCACTAGTCAGTGACAGAGACTGTTCTTCAGTACCTGTTAATGTCTTCAATAGTTCTTAATTTGTTCTTAACAATAAATATGCCTTCAAAAGAGAGAAAATGAGAATAATGAAACTTTGTGATTCTGTGTGAAGGAAAAATCTGTCTTAGGAAATTATCATTTACATTCACTATTAAGTGCCTTACCCATCATTACATATTTTGTTGCTTTGGATGGAATTGTCCGTCCTTTTGTGTACTGAATGCAACTGTGTGCAAGAAAGGAATTCAAGTAACCAAGAGCAATTGGGTCATCCTGTATGACTCACAGTAGATTCTGGTTTGGGAAGGTTTCCAGGTTCAAGAACAATCTAGTAGAAACCTCTGTTCCTAGACTCTTATCTAGCTCTATTCCACGCCAGAACCAAAAGCAAAAGCATCACATGTCCTCTGGAATTTCTGAGCCCAACACGTAGGAATTTATGGGACAGGCACAGCTGGGTTGAACTGGCAGCAGTAGTGGCAACAAGCTGAGTCTGCAGCAATGCTTGATCAAGTTGGTGGTGATGTCAGTCCCAGAACTGAATCAGTAAGCAGGACCAGGTTTGGTCTATAGGGTCCATAACACATCGGCACAGCAGAGAGAGTTCGGTGAGCACGACTGACTGCAAGGGACCCTGCACCAAGCATTGTAATGTTTATGATTATTCTCAGAAGCATAAACTGTCCTCTCCCAGCTAATGATAAGCAATAAAACAATACCCTGATAATACTGTAATTCTAACTCTGCATTCTGGGAATACACCTGCTCACCTCGTTTAGGGTCTTGTGTAAAGGTGGACACCCCTCTGCAGGCAGCAGTATTATCACACTTATTACTGGGGAGAGGTGAAAGATCAGTTATCAGGGCAACTCACTCTATCAAAGTCTGGTGTAAAGCAGAGACTGGAGTATCTAGCTACAGTATTCTAAAATTTAAAAACAATTAAATCTTGTGCATTTGCCAGAAGCTATTTTATACATCTGCATGGAAAAAGGAGGCTCATAATTGTCAGCATCATTCTGTTGTGTCCATGTGGTGAAAATCCCTGAGGACATATTCCAACAGGATAAAGTCATACAATGAAATTCTCTCCCTTTTCAGTTTTTCTGATAAAATCAAACTCATATCTAATGTTTATGCTACAAACTCTATCCAACAATGCATTGTCCAGTACTGCATGGCAAACATACAGACCTGTTTCCTTGATGTGGGGAGAAGTCCCCTCAGCGTGCCTTTTGCTGGCAACTTTGGTTTGGAAAAATGTAATTTACCATAACTTCACCTTTTTAGAGAAAGTATTTGGAATAGGGCTTCCAGCTTTCTACATTGCTTATGTGCTATTGATTCAGAGCACATGTGATACATCTGGGACCTGTTGGATCTACTGCAGTTGGACCACACAAATGCTTGCGTACGATCAAATAAAACACAACTGCATTGAATTATTCCTCTGCACGTGAATCATTCATGCTTTGAACTTGCTGTACTTGTGCAAACCCCAAGGGAATATGTTGTATCTGTTCAAAAGTGTGCATTTATGTCCAGATAACTCTACAGAAGCATATTTAACAGGTATAATCTATTCCTTGTGTACAGCACAAGTACAGAAATGTACACATTTTGAGCTGCTCTTCTGACTGGGATGTGATATTTTAGAAACCTGGACAAATGACTGAAGTCCTTTTCTGTGTTCAGAAAAACTTCACTTGTGAAAACTGCTCGCATCTATGGAACTCCAGACATATGTTGTCCCTGAGTATTAGAAAATGTTGCTGCCTTAGTTACCTACTGGCAGAAAAATGCACCTTCCCTGTGGTTGCTTTGCAACACAGATCGAGTATTTGCATGCATGAAAGCAAGCAAGCAGGAGATGGCACTGCTGCTGTATGTAAGCTTTTTCTACACTATAGAGTAAGAAGCTTTTTTTTTTTTTAATTTGTGTTAGAGACTAGAGATCATTCACAGAGCTAATGGAAGCTCAAGAATGGCTCATTTTAAGAAATTACTTAAATCCAATCTTAACGCAACTAGAGGTCAATGCTACCTGTATATTTTGTTCCATCTCATAATGGAAAATGGTTTCAGCTGCAAAGTTCATATCAAAATCTGAATTATTCAGAAATTAGTTGTGTTTTATGGCAATCTATAATTAACCATGATGCATTTTCTCACAGACCTGCTGGGAAGCCTGGCCACCAAGACCACAGAGTAGCATTTCATAACTCTGCAGGAGTGGCTGTACATGTGGGACTGACATCTATCACCCAGCAGTACAAAAAGAAATCACACACTTTCCTGCTCATAGTGGAGACTGCTGTGCTGTGACTTTGGATTTGAAAGAGGTAGATCTAATACATGTTTGGCCAATTACTTACCTATTTAGTACCATTCATAAAGTCCACAAGCAAGGACAGACGTGTTACAAATCAGTGTGATGAAATAAGTAGTCGGGATGATGCATCCTGCAAAGTTTAATTTTACATCTAGTTTCCAAATTATTATTTTTTTTTAATATTTGGATGGATTTTAATTTCACCATGTATTTAAAGTAAATTATAACTAACAGTATGAGATTTTGGAGTACTGGACTAAAGGTGGAGGCACTCAGTGAGTCTGATGCAAGCAGGTACTATATGGCCTTTCTTTAACATGTCAGTGCTTCAGAGGACAAGTCCATATTCAGGAATAGATTCTCATGATGTGTATTAATTGGGAGGGAGCATGAACAAGTGAATTCAGACCATCTGCTTTTTTTTGGCTTCTGTAAAGTTGTGAACCACATGGTAGATACTGAGAGACTTAAGTTATTAAGCAAATAGAAGCAACTGGGTCTTTGCAGAACATTCATTTCTCAATTACATTTCTGAACTTTTAGGGAAGGAAATATAGTGGTATTTCGATGATTATGGTTGTTTTAGTTAGATAGGGATTACCTATGTTAAGTCAGAACATTTGAAATTCTTAAGAAATTGCAGAGTTGAGAGGGAATGTGAAAATTCAAAGGCAAGAAGTAATGGCAATAGACAATAATTTAAAATAAACCAGTTTGTACATTAAAAGGTACATTAAAATGACACAAAGCTTATTGAAAACTAAGTCAGTTATATGTTTTTACAACTACAGCTATACACTGTATTATCGTGCTGTACTCTGTTCCATGAAAAATACAAATACTGTAACTGTAGCTCATTTAATTGCCTGAAGAACATCGCAGATTAAACAAATCAGAAAAAGAAGTACTACAATTTTCCTTTTTCAGATGTTTAAAGGTTATAACAATATGAATGCTGAAGCCAGTCTCAGGCAAAAACGAAATTGTAGCAGACCTGCATGAACTGCAGTGCATAAGTATGGCTAGTCTTTTGGGCTACTGTATCTTGCAGGAAACTCCATGTTGGTACCTGTCAAGCTGACTCTGATTTCAATCCATGGAAGCTGTACTGTCCACAACCTCTGAGTCATCCACTCCTGACTCATGGTGAGTCATTACAAATGCAAAACTAAGGCACAGAAATTCACCTTAAAATCAGAACAGCAGTCTATGGTAAAGCTGGAAGTAAACCTGTATTTTAAATTGGTTGGTAACCTAAAACTCCCATCTTGGCTGTAACGTTTTTCTGAAGACTAGAATCCATTTTTACAACCTTATTCATAATAAGACCATGAAGCAATCTTCCTTTTCACCCTTGTACCTTATTCAATATGGATCTTATCCTCACAAGCCACTTATCAGGAAGCTTTTTGCAGAATGGAATTATACACATATTATGAGGACTGGCAACAGAATTGCCCTTACATAATGAGCTAAAATTTCCTTTTTTAATTCCATATCTCATAGCATAAATACTTAGGTGCACTATACTACCAGCTGACCCTTCTTCCCCTAGCAAAGTAGTCAGATGTACACTGTCACATTTCTCATTGAAGAGACCTCCTATACTAATCAGGAACTCTCCCTATTCTCAGCTTATTATAAACCTGATGTTGATGCTGTTTTTCATTCTTTAGAACATGATTTGAACTGAACAATATTACTCAGGACATCTTGTAGGGAATTTGAGATTCTTTTAGAAAGAAAAGACAGTTACCAAGAAAAAAAAAAAAGAGTTACAATGCTCCTAAAGCTGTCAAATTGACAAAAGCCAGCACCTAGACACAGGGCTCTTAGAGCTCTTCTGAAAAAGATTCCAGATTCTTCTGTCCCTTCAGTGGTGTCCTCATGCTTATTGACACTGTGTCTAGAAATCATGATTTGTGAAAAAAGACTGAGGGAACTCAATTCCTTAGTGCAGAGAAGACTGATGGTGAGAGTTGAAAATAGGATTCAAGTAATTTTAAAGGTAGTTACATAGAGAAAGGGAGAAAATTCCTTTGGTGATAGGATATGAGGAGAATAACAGGTGAAATCACTCTTTTAGTGAGAATAGTGAAACAGCCCATGAAAAAGCTTGATTTCCATCAACAGAACAACTTTTATAACAGGTTGACAAACACTGGCCAGGAATCTTGTGGGGACAGTTGGTCCTTCCTTGGAAAAAGGGCTGAACTAGATTTGTCAAGGTCTATGATTTGTCATTTGCTATGAACTGGATAACTGTTTAAACATCTACAAAACTTGCTAAGTGCTTTCTTGTCTTTGGTCAATACTTCTTTGCTCATTGACTTTTGCCAGATATGTGAGCTTATCAAATGTGCTTACTTTTCTACTCTTCAGTGAGAGCAGTTTTCACCTCTATTTGTATATTAATTTTTGCTTACAATTTTCAACAAATTCTAGGATTTGATGCATGTTCATTTACTGACTAACCAAACCTATGAATTTTCCATCTCTATGAAATCTGTGCTTCCTGCTATCGTAATTTTTTTCTTTTTCTCTCTTCTCTTTCCCGACAGTCATTTGATTTCTGACTCTCCAAAAAATTGTATGAGCTTTGTCTTCCACTTCTGTGGTCAACTAAGCAGAAACATTATTCAGAACTTCTGACTCATACAGAAATAAATAAATAACCCCAAGCTGCCAAAGTCCAGACAATGAAGTTCCAATGGAAGTGTTTGAAATCAGTGAGTCTGTACTTTGCAGGATGAGTCATCTACTCCCATACATGTTTATTTGAAGAGAATAACTGTAGAGTTCGGGTGGTCTTGCATGCTTTTAATCATGTCACCCTTCTCCATCAGCAGCCATGTGCATACTATACATTTGTGTCTAGGTGTGGGTTTTAATTTTTAAAGATTCCTTGAAGAAACATTAGGTCATTTCTTTCAGACAAAAACCACTGAAGAAAATTCTCACATCTCCCTCACCGCACAAAAAAGAAGATTTTCAGGAAAGCAAACTTATTTTTCCATTTCCATCCCTTATAAAACGTAAGGAAGGAGAAGTTAGAAGCAGCAGAAAATTGTGTTCCATTTACAGACAATCCTGGAAATTCTGATCTAGTTCTTCAAACAAGAAAGATATTAGAAGCTTATATGTGGGTATATTTTCATTCTCTGATCTTTTTTAAATTAAAAAATTGTAAAAGCTAGAGCTGTCTCTAGTTGTGTCCAGAAATAGCTTGCTGTCACTTTGGTCTTTAAAGGCTCGTTTCTATATTTTTAAAATTCAGACCAGTTGTATTTATTGCCTCATTATGTGATTTAATACTTACTATATTTAGTATTAATAAATTATGCATAGTACTTATAATTATAAATTATTATTATTAAATATGGAAGCTATATTAGACATGTAAGAAGAACATCTTTACAGGACTGGGGATTATTTTTCCTACAGTCAAACTTCTCAGCAAGTCATATTCCCATGCATATGCCATGCACATACCAGCAGAACTAAATTTTTTTGTTCACATCTTTCCATAGCAACTACATGGTTATAATAAACTTTGGTCAGGTAAGCCTTTGGAGTTTGGAGTAATTTCTCACAGTAATCCTCCTGCTCTCTGACTTCAGAGTTCTGGTGTGCAGTACCTTTCTTCTCCTTGCAGTCTACGGCCAAGTTAGTTAGACATCCACTTTTGAACTAAGACAAGACAGTTTGTGTTGTGGTTTAACCCCAGCTGGTAACTAAGCCCCACCCATGCAGCTGCTCTCTCGCTCCCCCCACCCCTGCCCCAGGAAGGAAAAAAAGTGGAAAGAAAAGGCAAACCTTGTGGGTTGAGACAGGAACAATTTAATAATTGAAACAAAACATAAAAGATAGTAATAATTTGACACTACTACTAATTGTAATGAAATGGAGAGAGAAAGAAACGCAAGGCAAACAAGTGATGCTCAGTGCAGTTGCTCACCACTCGCTGACCAATATCCAGCCTGTCCCCCTGCAGCCACTGGAACCTCATGGCCAACTCCTTCCCCATTTATATACTGGGCATGATGTTCTATGGTATGAAATATCCTTTTGGACAGTTTGGGTCAGCTGTCCTGGCCATGTTCCCCTCCAGCTTCTTGTGCACCTCTTCATTGGCAGAGCACTGGCAACAGAAACATCCTTGATTTGGAGTAAGAACAACTTAAAACCAACCAAAACCTCAGTGTGTTGGTCAACATTATTCTCATATTAAATCCAAAATACAGCACTGTACCAGCTACTAAAAAGAAAAGTAACTCTATCCTGGACAGTTTGCTTTACTGATTTACTTTGCACCACCTGAGATACTTAAAAATCTCCAGAACAAACAGAGGTGCCCATTTGCAGTGGTTTACAGCTGCTGAGTAACAGCTGCAAAAAGAGACACATTTTTACATTGAGATAGCCAATTAGCACTAAGAATGTACAAGCTGAATAAAGGGCATAGGACAGTTTATGGCTCAGGGTAACTTTTTCCAAGGCTAATCAACACAATGCATCTAAGCTTAACTACATGAACTATCAAAAAAAAAAAAAAAAAAAAAGCTGGAGAGCTGGAGTACCTCAATTTCATATTTACATAGAGATTTTAATGTGCTGGCGGGTTTTGGGAGTTGGTTGGTTGGGGTTTTTTTGGTGTGTGCTGAAGATATTCTGCAAGTTTGCCTTGACAGAGGAAATGCTGGTATCTGTTATATTTGCCATCATCTCTGAACCAAATATAGTAGAACAGAAAGCCTTGACACTCTTGGTGTATTTCTGGAGCAGTGAGTTAAAAAAGATTAGATCTTTTCTGTAAAGACCTCCTTCACATAAGTGGAAACAGATTTTCCTTTTAAAAAGGCTCAGTTTCAGTTTATTTTTTTCCCTGCTTGACTTTCATTCGAACCATTCAGGTTTTGTCTAGTTATGAAAAGTGCATGGTAATTTGGAAACTAACAGATCACTATAACTCACTGACGGTGAAGGGAAAGTCTATTTGGTCTTTTAAAGCTTGCAGCGTGCATGCTAAGAAGACATGTACTGATGTGATTTCCATGATAATGTGCATGTCAATGTGATTGTATTAGATAATGATTTGACTTGTGAAGTTCCAAAGGTATCAGAGAAACTATGCCCCTTGGATCTGCAATGATAAACAGGTAAACAGACAAACCAGATAAACAAGTTGGTTAAGGCCTTCCATTCTCTTTAATTGAATCAGAAAATTTTCCTGAAGAATTGTACACCTCAGGCAACATGTCAGTTATTGGGAGAACAATAAAGTACTCTTCACAAATGGATTCATATTCATGAGCCCCTCATTACATCAACACATTACATCTAAGAGGTGGTTAGGGCATTCATGTACCCTCGATTATAATCTGGGAGGAAAAGTACTGCCTACTTTGGAGGGAATGTGAAAAAATTATTTGTTTGGTGCATAAGAGGAACAAGTATGAGGAGCAGGCTATCCTAGAATAACCATCACCTTTGCAAGGCATTTAAGACAGATTTGGAAAAATATGTAGCTCCAGGAGAATGTTTTCCAACGGAGAAATTCTAAGTGCCTTTCAAAGGTAAGCAGAACCCACAACTACATTTTGTAATTGGATAAAAGATGTATTAAAAAAACCCAACCCAAAACAAAAAACAACTCTCTCCACCTATTGCCACCAGCACTGGTTTGTTTCCATTCAGTGAATAGAAACATTGTATCAGCTTTCTTACTAACCACTTCAGTTGTTAGGCTGCATTATACAATGTGCTTTCACCATACTAGAGAAATACATGCTTATCACCGGTGCTTATCCACACCACTACGACTGGTGGCCCACTGCTCGAGGCAGTTCACTTTGTGAATGAAGAAGCATCTGGCTGAAGCTGACACTGAGCAAACCCCAACTGTCTGGGCACCCTGTTAGATTTGGTTCACAGCTCCCACTTCTGGGTAGCACACTTGTAAACTAGGAGCACTAAGATCTTTCTATTCCTAAAGCAGCAGTAGGAGATACTGTTTTCTTACCTCGCTCTTTAACTATAGACTCCTGGTGATGAATGAAGAAAGGGCTTAAATTATTCACATTATCATCTTATATGGCTGAGAGTAGGGCAATAAAGGCATTTTTTTTTTTTTCCCCTTATGAAAACCTCACATGAGGGGAAGACTACCGTGTGTTCACTCACTTTATACAAGCTGCTGTGACCACAGCCAATCTGTCCTCCTCCTTTCCCACAGAACAGGCCCCTGCTGGCTGATGGTCTGCCAGATGGATGCAGGCTCTGCATTGACACTGTGGCCCTGCAATCACATCCTGTCGGCTGTTGTGTGATGACGGCACGGTGGTACCCACTGAGGAGCGTCCTCACGGGACTGGAGAGTCTAGCATGCAGTGAGGAGTCACTTGCGGGAGCGGAAGCCTTCCCTTCGAAGGCCGTACTCACCCAGGCATGGGACCCATTCAGTGTTTCCCCCTGTCAGCGCTCGGAGCCCAGGGGAGACAGCGGCGCAGCGCCCCCGGGGCAGCGCTGGCTCCCGCAGGGCACAGAGAGCCCTGAGGCGACCCCTGGTCACCCGCCTCCCCCTCCTCAGCCCTTCTCGCCCCAGCGGAGCCCAGGCAGGGCCTGTGCCCGTCAGACCCCGGGCACCCCGCCCAGGTGCGGGCAGCACAGCCAGCCCGGCCGCCGAGGCGGCACCGCAGAGAGGACGCAGCTTCCCCCCGGGAGCGGCCATGCGGCGGCGAGCGCCCTGCGCCAACCCCAGTGTCCGGCACGAGAGCTGACCCTCGCAACCCCGTCGGGAGCGAGAGCTCCAGCGCCCCTCGGCCCCGGGGCTGCGCGGGGGCGGCCGCGGCCGTAGCGGCGCTGGGCGGCTCAGCCAACCCCGCACTGCACAGCGCCGAGCCACAGCCGCCCGCCCCCCGCGCCCGGATTGACCGCGCCCACAGCCAATCGCCCGTGAGAAATCTCGGCGGCTGCCCAATCACCGTTCCGGAAAGGGGGATGTGGGCGGTGCCCCGGAGGACAGCGGGCTCGGTGGCGCCGCGGCCAAGGAAGGGCGAGTGTGGGGGCGGCGGCGCGGGGAGCGCGGCCGGGCTCCGGCCGGCACTGCCGCAGGGATGGCGGCGGCCGCGGCGAGGGGCCCAACCCCCGTGCGGAGCGCTGCGAGCCGCCCCGTGACCCGCTGAGCGCCCTCCGCCTGCGCGCAGCCGTTACCCCTCCCCGCGGGCCGGCCCGGCTCTGCAGTCGCCATAGAGACCGCGCCGCACGCCATGGGGCGGAGGCTGGGCCGGGGGGCGCCGCTGTAGCCCCCGCCCCGCGCCGCGCACACCATCCCCGCGGGGCCGGGGGCGCCGCAGGGACACGCCGCACCGCCCCGAGGAGCCGCCGCCTCGGCCCCGTTCCAGGTGAGGACATGCGGGGCTGCGCCGCGGCCGCCGCCGTCACCCCGCGCCCTGTCCCCGGGGGCGCTCCGGCCGCCGCGGCGGGGCGCGGCCCGCGGGCTCCGGCCCGGCCCCGGCGGCTGCTGCGTGGGAGCCGCGCCGCGGTTCCTGTCCCCGCATGAGAGCGAGTTTGCCGGGTGCGGGAGCTCCGGGGCCACGGCCCGCCCCGAGAGGGGCTTATTCCAGCCGGGGCAGCACGGAGCGATCCGGTCCGTGGAGTTAAGGTCGGCAGGTCTGGCGGGCTCCAGCAGCAGTCACCCACCGCTGCCCCGGCCTCCACGGAAAACTCAGATTTATAGGCACGAGATTTTTTTTTTTTTTTTTTGTCCCTCCCACTTGCTGCAAGAAGGCAAACGGTACACATATTTACGTCTTCTGACGGCGAAACATCCCTGCTTTAAAATAGCTGCGTCTATATTTCCAGCTCTGGGCTGTGGCATGCGTGTGACGGATGCTGTGTGGGCACGGCTGGATCGGGAAGCGGGCTGTCTGTCGCCTGGCGCTCCGAGTGCTGGAGCCATTAGCGGCAGTTGCATCGATCTGTGCATACAGATATGCCCGGCTAGGCCGCGGGTGCTCGCACCACGGCGGTAACGGGGAGCATGGAAACTGCGTATGGAACGGATTCAAAAATATATTCTTATATGCACTTTTAACTTTATAAAAAGGGAAAGAGAAAATACCTTGTTCCCGAGTCTACAGATGATCACTAGACTGCAGCTGTATCCTTGTGCTTCTGTTGTCACTCTAGAGCAAAAGCAGTGAAAGGACAAAGATCGGCATGTGGTTTCCAAAACCTCTGGTGTGAGCCAGAGCAGTTGGGAACAACTGCTAGTGTGAGGGGGGATGCATTTACCAATAAAAAAAAATATTACTGTATTGTCATGGGGGTAGAGGGAAATGGACACAAAGGAATGACCCCAGAGTATAGCGCAGCCTTTTGAGAACCTTCCACTGTATTTATAATTAAGCTGGAAAGGAGTATAGCAAGTGAGTTATAAAATAGGTTGTAATGACTTTCTTAGACTGTATGTGCAGAACTAGTTGAATTTCAGTTTAAATGTTCTGAATTAGTAAGCTATATTGCAGGAAGGTTGAGAGCTCTAAAATAAAACATACTCTATTTATTTAAGTATCGTGTTAGCCTTAGAGCATGTGACTACTTTCCCTGTTGTGGTTCTGGAAAAAATGAGTAAATTTTTTTTATATTCTGCATAGCTAATGCCATGCCTCTGTTGAACACATGCTGTGCTTGTAGGTACGTTACTTCCTTTCAGCTATTGTATCTGAGAAAACAATAGATTAGAGCTTATTTAGCTGCTCTTGTTTGATTTTGCAAATATTTTTTGAGGTCTTAATCATGTGAACTCATGAACAAAGATATCCACCATTTTTATTCTGTGTTAAATTGCCCAGAATACTTTATTGATCATTATTCATTTGCTTTACAGTGTGAAGTATGTTTAAAAAAGTAGCAAAAGGTTCTTAACTTGTTAAACCAGAAGTATGCTTATTTACATTTGGCCTGTCAAAGAAATTATATGTAGGAAAGTTTGACTGCAGTAGTATATGTCATCTTTGGTCAAAAGTTGTTTTGAAAATAGTACATCAGAATATCATAGTTTAAAAATCATGAAAATGGAACCAATTATCTCTGACAAATACTTGGTTCTTTGATATATTCCTGGTGCACCATTATGCACTTGGAGTTCAGCGTCTTTTTAAACTTCCTATTTGGAAAAGATGGGGCTAGAATGAGAAGAAGAAATTGAGCAACTGGAATATCATAATGTTGCTTGGGGTTAGTGTAGTCTCTGCCACATACTGCAGGCTGTGATTTCTCTAATATCACAAATTCCAGAGAGGTTTCTTCAGTGTGGCTGATTATATCAAGAGATTTTTGAGTATGACAGAAAAGAGAGAAGAGTGGAGTTTTCCTTGTTCAAAACTGACTTCTAAATGATCAGCTCCTACCCGTACTAGATATATGTGTACAAAAGGTTAAGTATTTCCGTAGTGTATGAAGTTGCACTTTATGTTATATTAATATACTACCGCGTTTTCCATGTTAGTTAAGGCTTGTTTATCTAGGGAATGAATTGATACTCTACAAAGAAGATTGACAGTTTCTGTGTATTCCTGTGTGTTGCCTTGTCCCTTTCCTTTTCTCTGGGAAAGCACTACACAAAGCCTTTGTGTTTGGCAAGAGGGGAGGAGAAACAGCTGCCTTTTCAGTGCAAGACACCAGGATTCGTCATGGTCTCTCAGGGATGCGTAATTGTGTATGGACCAGCCACTGTCCCTCCTCCCTTGTTCTGTTGAGAACTCTCTCCTCATGACACAGAAACCCGAGCTTCCTTTGACTGATCTCACAGAGCAGCACGTTGTGCCATGGACCCAGCCTATCAGTCAGATGGGCCAATTGTTAAAGTATAGGTGGGCAAGAATTAAAAGGCAACATTGACTAAATGCAAGGTATACGTTAAGGAGTCCAAGATCTGCAGATCATGTTGTGTTTAAAAATTGCTTTTATCAACCTGACTTCTTGTCCATGATTGGGATGAAAGAAACTTGTTCAAATGGTTAATCTTTTACTTAGTTTTCTTTTGTTTAGCAGTTTAGTATCTAGGATACTTAAATGGGAATTAAGCATGTCAATTTCTAGAAGAGGAAATGCAAACTATTTCAGTTGGGTGACAGAGTACAACTAAATGGGACAGTTTCATTTTTCTGCTTCCCATGCACTAATGGGGTGCTTTAATTGTTGTACTGTATTGTGTCACCCAGTGGTAGAAAAAAATTTAACTTCCCTGTCTTTGTTGGAAACATTGATTGCTATATAATGTGGCTTTTAGTAACTATATCTTGTATGTTCTTTCAAAACAACTTACTTGAAAATATCATCCAATCTTTTACTTATCCTTTGCAACTTTATTATATTTATTAAAATTTTAGAGTATTCCCCTCCTCTCCCCCCCTTCAGTGTTACATGTTAAGTAGTGTGCTTTTGAGGGAATTCAGTAACGCTGATTTTTTTTTTTTTTAAACTGCTTATGAAATTGAGGTGGCATTCTTAGCAGTTTAAATTTATAGTCCATCTTTCTCTGTATTAGCTTATAGGTCACTAATTTTTAAACCCAAGTAGTGGAAAAATTCAAACAATAAAAACTGGCCTTTTGATACTTCACCTCTTGATCTGGTTGAGAATCTTTTTCCCATTTTTGATGTGTTGTGCATATCATAACTTTTAATATTTTATTTTTCAAACTTATTTGTCAATTAATGGAGACAAATATTTGAAAACCTTGAGGAATTTTTTTGGGGAGAAGAGAAAGATTTAATTTGAGAGGAGTGAGGAAAGGACAGCAAACTGGGAAAATGAAGGAGTCTAGTGTTTTTAACAAAATTTTGGTTAAAAATTTTTGAAGTGTGTTCATTGTTGTGTTCAGACATGTTTTTCTGTGGTTCTTGTACTGCATGGTTGAGAACAATTCTGTGATGAGAAGCATCACTCAAAGGCTATTTCATGCTGTTACTTTGTCTCAGAAGAGATTAATCAGTTATTGATAAGTTAGGTTATTTGCACTGATGGGGAGCCCTCTTCTGTAACCTTTTGAAGAAATGTGTGTATATTGCTTAGCCTTGCATTTCAGTGCAGGAGAAGCATCTGAGTAGTTGGAAAAGTTGAAGGCCTCCTTCATGGATGGGTTTTCATGGATAAAGTTTGCCAGCTCACTGATGGTAATGATGAGGAGAGTGTTTTTTTTCCAATACAAAGCTGTCCGATGTATAAAGGCAGGCTAAAATAGGCTGAACTTGCTTTGAGAGCTTGTAAAAGATGGGATGTCTCTACTAGGAAGTCGTTTTTTTGTATCTGGGTGTTGCTAAGGAATTTGTTACTTGTTGCAGGGACAGGTTACTATGTGGAGCTCACATGGGGAAAAGACCAAATGATCAGAGTTGGTGTCGTTGTTATCTGTTTAAATGGAAATAATTTTATTACTCTTTTGATGCACTTCAAGTTACACAAAAATTGTACTATTGGACTCATCCAGAGTAAGGAAAGTTCTTGATTCTGACAGGTTCGTTCTACTCTCTGTCACTTCCCAGATAATTCTTAGATGGTATTTGTTGTTTCTGTCACGCAGTGTCTCAGGGTACTAATGTTTTTGTGAGGATTTTAACCACATGTTTTTGGTATAATGGTGTCCACCAACGTAGCAAGAATTATATTGCTTTATGGAGTGGTGTATCAGCAGAATGTGTCTTGTAGCTTTTGAGTTTGCTTCTGTAGTAATGCTTCAAATGCCACTCGTGGCAAGCAGTGCAGCTTCTGAGCAAATGAAGGATGTCTGTTTAGCTTCGCAGTGTTGAAGTATTTAAAATAGGGGCAGTGATCTGTAAACAGACTGTGGTTTTCCAATTCCAGCTGGTGACTTTTTAGAATGTATTTCTATTGTTATGTTATTTACTCTCTTGAAATAGTTATTTTCCTTTGTATTTGTCAGCATCTTGAGTTAAATAGATCCGGAATAGGAATTATCAACTGGTAGAAATTGTGTCAGAAAAAGAGTGCTACTCCTCGAGTTTTACTGAATACCCTTACTTCATATGTGATGTTTTGATTTCCCATTTCTAGTAGTCTATAAATAAAATCAAAGTATAATTCCCTAAGTCAAGTTAGCCTTACAAATGTTGTACTCTGAGAGCCGAAGGAGAGGAATTGATACTGGATCACAATTCTTTCTTATGTGCTGTTTTGTCAAGCTCTAGAGATTATTTTGATAATCGTGATGGTTTGAGTGAAATTATAGTTTTACAGTTCTGAGCAAGATAGTGTATCCAGTGCAGAAACCTGTTGAACTATTTGGCTGGTTGGAGAAGAGTTAGAAGAAATCACAGGATAGATCAGTATGAAGGAAATATTTATTGGTCTTGTGGGAGAAATGTGCTGGCTAACCCAG